GATTTATTTGAGAAACATTGAAAAACCCCTTTTTATTTGAAAATTGGTCATTGAACAAAGAAATGAATTCGAGAGTCTATTACAGATAGGGAATGTGTTAGCACCCTACGCCTTCCGTTTTAAAAAATTAAATGGTTATCTCATATTAATTGTGCAAATATAAAATTTTAAATATTTATTTCACCCCAAAGAATTGAACAAAATTGTTTAAAGAAATGAAAACTAATTTTTGAAAATTTATTTTTGTGCTGAGAAGGATCCCGCTCCGACGTATCCCTCGGTACAATAGGAAACTCAAAACTACATCGTTCTGTAGAAAATATTTGTGTGTCGATTGATTTTAATTTTGAAAGTAAATTTAAAGGAAATCATTTAAAAGTTTTGGATTTGATGGTTTCGAACTGTCAAGCTGTCGCACCCAAAATAATCTGAAATGATAATTGTAGAATTAACAAGTTGTCTCAACTAAGCTAATTCTATTAAAGGAAATCATTTAAAAGTTTTGGATTTGATGGTTTCAGACTATCAAGCTGTCGCACCCAAAATAATCTGAAATGATAATTGTAGGATTAACAAGTTATCTCAACTCAGCTAATTCTATTAAAATAGAATTCATATTATTTTTATTATTATAAATTTTAAATACATTTTGAACCACCAAGCCGTCACGACTAAAATGAATCAAAATAAAATACACGGAGTTAACAAACCGTCACGATTAAATTCCCCATTTGACGAAAATCTTAATGTTATATATAAGCTTATTATTATAAATTTTTTAGATAAATTTTGAATCACCAAGTCGTCACGGCTAAAATGAACCAAAACAAAATATGCGAGATTAACAAACCATCACGGTTAAATTATCTCTATAAAAATTAATAGCAAACTAAACTTCTTTATTCTTTATTATTTATTTTTTAAAATTAACCCTTATTATTATTATTTAACTTCTCCGCTTCACACGTATATACTAAGCCATTGTATTCTTTAAGAATAAAATTGATATGTGATGCTTTCTCTAAAGCGGTCAATAAAAATAAAAAACAAGTACGAGGCCATAAAAATATAATACATGCTGGAAACGAAATAATAGAAAAAGTAATATTAATTATTCGTAAATAAAAAAGAGCCTAATGTTTACCAAAAAAAAAAAAACCTAATTATTTTAAGGGTTCGTTTTTTCTGCAGTTGCTGCGGATAAGTTATCTGTAGTAAGCCCAATACGACGTCGTTTAGAGGCGAAAAACATGGTATTTTTATAATTTTAATTTATTTCAGGGTTATTATGGTCTTTATAATTATAATTTGTTAATATTTTAATCTCAAAATGATGTCGTTTTGGAAGTAAATGCAGATAACTTATCTGCATTAACTGCAAAAATATTTTTCTGTTATTTTCATGGAAAAAGTGTGTATCATTTTAAAGCATATAAAATTATGTCATTTTAAGTGAGAGAAAGAGATAGATAAAGAAGACGAGAAAGTGGACAAAAAAATATGAAAGTATGGGTTCCACCTCTTTGTGAGAGTGAAAAAATATAAATTGTGTCGTTTAAAAGGACAAACGTTGTTTCCTATTTTAATCTTTCACTTTCATTGTTCAGCCACTTCACATTTGGAAGAATATAAATTGTGTCGTTTAAAAGGACAAACGTTATTTCCTATTTTAATCTTTCGCTTTCATTGTTCAGCCACTTCACATTACTCCAAACAAATGAAAGAGTTGTGCATGGTTGCGTGCAAGATTAGATACACATCCTCTTCCTTTTGGTTTTATCATATTTTATTATCATGGTTATTGAAACAGGACATTAAATGGATAAAGTCACATAAACATGCTTCATGAAAAATATCATAACACAAGGGGTGTTCTCATTCATAATAAATAAAATGGTATTAAAGTAAGGGATTTGTATTTGTCATTTAACATGACACAACAAACTTTCTCACATACAAAACATTTTGTGGGGCCCCACTTTTTGAAGAAAAAAGAAAAAGAAAAAATTACAGCAAGCAAAACGAATCTCTATAACATTACACAATCATTTTTCCTACAATATAACTCTTATAAAACCTTTAAAGTAAAAAGCCTACATGCATTTCATATATGAGTTTTATAAGAGTTATGTTGTAGGAAAAATGATTTTATAATGTTATAAAGATTCGTTTTGTGTGCAGTAATTTTTATTTTTTTTTCTCAAAAAATATGAACCTCACAAAATGTTATGTGTAAAAAAGTTTGTTATGTTATGTTAAATGACAAATATAAACCCCTTCGTATATACACACATAAGAAAATGTGAATAACGAAACATAGGAGGAAAGAAAGAAATAAATAAAGCTTTCGAGACAGTGACATATATCCCCAAACCAAAACCTGAAAGATACATAAAAACAACCCAAACATACAAGCATGTATGATAGCATCATACACCCTATAGGCTATAAATCATGCACATAGGACAACAAAAATGCAGAATATGAGTCGGTGCTTGCTTCAGACCAGATAGGGCTTACATTACAAAGAGAAGAAAAAAAAAAAAAAACTTCTCCATGACATGACAAATACCTTTGACAGCCACAGTAAAGAATCTTGAGGTCATCACTTCAAAAATTAATTCAAAGGGTGGGAGTGTTAAAGCTTTATAAACTCCACATTAATTGCACATACAATTAATATGAGACTATATATTTCAACATGTCCCTTTATACCAGAGCCCATTGGGCTTGAAGAATGGACAATGCAACAGGCCCAGCCTACTTGTGCTAAGAAACGCCACGAGAGAAGGCGGGGGGCGGCGAGGCTCTGATACCATATAAAGAATCTTGAGGTCACTACCCAAAAACTAGTTCAAAGAGTGAAAGTGCCCAATACCTTATAAACTCCACATTAATTACACATACAACTAATGCGGGACTATATATCTCAACCGCCACAACAAACATAATAGATGGAATATCTTTTATTGAAATAGAAAGAAGTAGAAACTGACAAACCCCATTACCACATACATACCGGAGGATTCATAAGAATGCATTCGGTATTTAAGGACAAGAAAAATAAATATTATAAAATTTCTATCAGTGCCCTTTAACCAGAAAATAGGTACCCATTCATCTTTACTTTACGGCATGTGCATTTACAAAACAATAAGAAAATATCAAAGCTGGAAAAGTCTTACTTTTCCAATATGATCTTGGATGAACTAGAGGGGTCATTTGCACCAAGAACCCAGCGCAACTACTGAAGATTTGGCATCTCACAGAAATTCTTCATGACATGGAGCTTCACATAGAGCATTAGGATGACTGATTAGGGATCTCTTTGTTTTTGGGCAAAAGATATCACTCTCCAGGATCCTTATGTATTGCGTCCTTCATCTTTTTATTCTTTCTTTTTTCTTTTTTTTTCTTTTTTTGATGTTTTGAAAGAAAAATGGTTGAAGTGGTTTGATCCCCGAACCCGTGGCGGACCCAGAGAAATTTGTTTATGTCCGCATATTTAGTGGCGGGTGTTTGGGGGTTGCGCCTCTGAATTTTTTGTAAAAATCGATGACCCGATCGGTTCAACCGGTGACCCGGCCCGGTCTATAAAAAAGCAACTAATTTATTTTCATAAATTAATATATATAGTTTTTTACTCTCAAACACAAATGGTTTGTTTTCTTTTGGAATATTTAAGTGATTCGTAACTTATTAACTTACGTAGATTATGTACCTACAACACTAATTTATCTTGATTATGCAATATGCAGAGAATTTTGATTTGATTTACAGTTAGAGATGTCTTTTACTGAATCTGAAACACTAGTATCACAAATATTATATGTTTGATTGATCTTTTGTTAACAATGATGTGTAATTAATTATTTTCATATTAAAATATTTGAAATTGGTATATTTTTTTACAAGTATTTAAGTATATTTATAATTTTTTAATATAAATTGTAGATTTACATATACTTATCGAGTCATGCGATTGAATCAGTGACCCACCGGTTAAACCGGTGATCCAGTACTTTGACCGGGTCAATAACCGAGTCGGATTTAACATTATTTAAAATGGTAGTTACTCCTAATATATATATATAAAACTAAGAGACAAACAAAAATATGCAATCAAGAAAAAGAAAGAAAAAATCGAAATTATAAATTTTATGACCGCACTTGGGGTCCGCCAGTACCCCGAACAATAGGAGAAAAGTGTTAGGACTATGAGGGTGAGAAATCTGTGTGCCCTTCTCATTTTTCCTGCTCATTTTCTAGACAAAAATCGCTCAGCTTGCAATTTTAGATCAGTTTTGTGGGTCAACTCTTTGATGCTCTGCCCTTTCTTTCACCTTTCCTTGGGCCATGTTTGGTATAAAGAATAGGATAAGGTCTGATAGTATAAGACCTGATTGTATAAGACCTAATTAAATTTTAATATTATCCAGTATGGTGTTGTATAAGATAATATCCTCCAATATTTTAAAAATTAATATATTAAAAAAATTTATTTTAATATATAAATATTGAAATGATACATTAGTTCTTGGAAATTGTACTTGTAAGCAATATTAATACATCACCCCTAATCCACCACTCTTATGCCGAATTAAGTTATACATCATTTTGATGGTAAAGGAATCCTGCTGTATAAACTTATACTATACGATGGTCACACCAAATAACTGAAAATGTCATAACGTATAGTATAAACTTATACTATCAGACCTTATACATCACACCAAACAAGTCCAAATTCTTATTAATCTTGTGTAACTTTCTGTCTTATTCACTTGACTACCCGAGGCTTCCTCTTTTTTTATTTTGTAAATTTTTGAATACGCAGGACTGCTTGGACTGTGCACTTATCAGAGACATGTATGGCTCATCAGTTGTCGTTATCTCCTTCTTCTTCTTTTTTTCAATTCATTTCTTTTTCTCTTTCTTTTTTTTCTTTTTTATGGAACAAGAAAAAAAATATAAAAAAATAAGAATAGTGAATAGGTAGGACAAAATATGGTGTTTACATATTGGTTTACATAATTGGCTATGAAAAAGATAACAGAACATATCTGTGTAAGCCTACTCAGTATTCTTAAAAGCAATTTAAAATTATGGACCATGAGGGTGAGGAGTACATCCAAGTAAACCATGTTAAAAGAAAGAAACCAACCAAATTCTCAGCTTGGGAAAGCTATCCCAGCAACAATTAGAATTAACTCAGTAAATGATGAGGTGACTGAACACAGAAGCATACTTCAAGGCTAAGTCAGATTGTCTTCTCTTTGAGTCAATCTAAAATTATCTCAACAAGCCATTACAGCACAATTGTACACAAACACCCCCACATGCTCCCTCACACCAAGTACCTGCCAATCTATGGTGCCATTCGTGATCCCTGACTTAGGACACCATGAATTCAGCACAATAGCTTCACCTTCTGGACCCCTTTGTCCACCCACAACCAAAAGTTGATCTCCACAAGCCTTGAAAGCCAGACCCCATCCATTAGAAGAATCAGCCCGGACCGGAAGCCTTCCCAAATCATTCCAGCTGTTCTTTTCCTTGTCATATTTCTTTACCATGTTAGTTAGATGCTCAACTGCGTATAACTGATTATCCACAACTGCCACAAGTGGAGGTGCCTGAGCACCTATGCTAACAAATGGATACATACCCTCTATTTTCCGCCAATTTCTTGTCTTAAGATCATATTCCTCCCCACAAGTTAATGAAACAGTTGGACTTGACATTCCACCAATCACGTAGAATTTGTCATCCATAAAAAAACCAGAGCATAACCTACGTGGTGTGTGCATGTTTGGTAAAAGTTCCCATGTACCTGATGAAGAGTCATACAACTCGGCCGATTTTAGAACATTTCCATACTTATCACTTCCACCAGCTACAATAGCAATTGAACCAAGACAACTAGATCCAAACAAACAGCGAGATTGGTTCATCTCCTTACACTTCACCCAACCACCACAAATCAAGCTATACTTCCAAATAGCAAACTCCATCAATTCTCGACCAAAAACCAACATTTCACAGCCCACGGCCAAGGACTCCTTGTCTGCATGGTTAAAACACTCGTCACAAGGTATCTTAGGTAATGCCATCCATCTATTAATCTTGGGGTCAAATGCCACCCATCCTCTTGGATCACAAACCAAATAGACCAAATGCTCCACAGCTCTCAACTGTTTCCTCAACCCATATAGATACCCACTATTAATCAACTTTTTGTACTTTTTATTAATACAAGATAGCGAAGCATAATTGGATCCACCAACCCAAGAAAGACAATACAGCGCAACATCATCAATAAGACCAGGGAGCAGCGAATCATTTGGTCCAGTTCTAGAAAAACCATCATTCACTCCTTCCATCTTATCCATTTTCAGAAAATTACTCACTTCCTTTTCATCATCCTGCAATGAACAATCCAAACGTAATTTCTTTGTCATGCCCAGGAATCTTCAGTGCACCCCAACAAAACCATAACAGAGGGAGAAGCAACCTTAAAAGGAAGAAGCAAAATCTTTATCTATTTATTCTTTCCATCAATTAGTTAGAATCCTGTAAATTGCCTAATACATAAAAATCACCCCTTTAATGGACTTATCCCAAATTCTACATAAACTGGATAACCATAATCTCTGATGAAAAAGAGAGAGAGATAAGTACAATACCAAATTAATCACGGGCAAGATTTGAAACTCTCCCAGCAAACTTGCTTGTCTGATTTTCAGCTATCAAGACTCACAGAACCATCTGAAAACTCGCGAGAATGAGAAATGAAACAAGTTTGCTTGAAACGGTAAAAGTATAAAACAAAAATCAAATTTTGAGCAAAAGGGGTTTGCTGTGATCCAATTCAAGGAGCAGTAACCGGATTTGGATCAAAATCAAACAATTTTTAACAAAAAAAAAAAAAAAAAAGAGTGGTTGATTTAAGAAGAAGGGTGAGTGGAAAAATAAATGTGGAGGGTACCTGAAAGTGGAGAGAAGGAACAGATCTCAGAAATGAAGCGGCGGCATGATTGAACGGAAATGATGTAGCATATTGCCGGAAACAGGCAAAGAGTGAAAGACAAAGCAGGCTTGCATAACTTGCAATTTTGGACATTGAGGTACTATGTAACTCAAGAGTTGCAACTTACTTATAAACAAAAACTCCTACAATTTTCTTACTTTGCTCTTATACCCCTACTTTTTGCTGTAATTTCATTTTATACTTCTGCTTCTTTCTTTAACTTTTTTTTCTCAATTGTTTTTCCTGCTTTTTCTTGTGTCGTTGAGAAAGACACAAATTTAAAAAAAAAAAAACTGAACTCCTGCATATATTATAAGGAGTCTCTCCACAGTCAAATTATGTCTTTCTCCCATGACACTTCATATTTTAAAGAAAATTTAAAAATATATATATAAACCCATTTTTATAGAGTAAATTTTTTTTTTATTTTTTTATTTTGGCTGCTTCTAATGTGCAAAAATTATTGTTTTACAATAGACAAAAATATGCTTAATATTTGAATACTTTTATCCTTTTTCAATTTATCAAATGAACATGCAAAATGAAAAATATTAAATTAAAATTGCACAATATTCTATTTGAAATTGTTTAGAATATATAATGTAAAATTTTTCACATGCATAACTATTATTACAGTTTCATGTAAGCGAAATTTAACAGCTAAAGAAATATACATTATGCAAATGTCATTATGTTAGGACTTCACAAGGTTTTCTCACATCTTTTAGGTGTAAAATTAATTTTTTGCACTTGACGTATATAAGCTACACTTGTCACTAAAGTACTTTCTTGCTGGTTCAGACCTTAAAATTAATTTTAAATAATTTTCAACCGTCGAGTTCAAATTTACTTATTATTTGAGTTACTCATTATAAATCAAGCAAATGTCATGTAAAAATTTTCTACCAAAAAAATGTCATGTAAACATTAGCATTCGCTATCAATGTCTAATATATAAAATTAAAGGAGCCTTTGACAAAAATTAAAATCTACTCACATTTAGTTAAGTTAAGGAGATGCGTTGTACCAAAAAAGGAAAAAAAAAAAAAGTTATGGAGATGTATAACGAATTTAAAAAAATCACATTATTATTTCCAAAAAAAATCTATTTCCAAAAAAAAAAAAGTATTGCATTATGTAAAATAGAATTTGTTTTATCAATATATACAATTATATAAGTACGTAGTGTATCACATTGAGTCATTTAAATATGATCTTTCTTTAGCAAAAAGATAGTGTATAAAGATTTTACTTTCGAATTGATTTTTTTTTTCAATAAGGATATGTTCACATCCGGTTTCGTGTTACCTAAGATTAAATCAAATGTAAGTTTACGTTCATAAAGTGCAATTAATTTTATTAACGACTTTGATTGATTCTTCTTGTTTATCAATTTTGTATATTTTTTATGTTAAAATAAATAAATAATATTGAAGAGTATTTAAAGTGAACTATGATTATATAGTGATGCGTTTAAAAAATTAAAAAAGATTATAATTGTAGAGTAATAATTTTTAATAATTTCCACTTTTTTAATATTTATCTTTAAAGTATTTAGATTAATAATTAAAAAAAACTCAATACCAAAATAGAAAAGTTTTTCTATATATAACAGTAAAGAAGTGGTTTGAAATTAAGTAATTGGGATTGAGTTAAAGATGTGATATATATGTAATTTACAATATTTAGTGTACTTAAACCTACGTTATATTATATATGTAGTCAAATTCACTTTATAAATTAAAATTGAAGTGGACGGTTTTTAAAAACCGAATATGGTTGACGAATTTTGCCGATTTGACTGATATTGTCTAATTTTGACCCGGTTAACTTTGTAAAGTAGCTAGAAAAGTTGACCGGTTCAATAGTTGAAGTTAACTTTGAGGGTTTGAACTTTGAATCAATTTTCAAAAACATGTGTTTGATGAATAACATCTGGGTGGTTACATGTACCAAAGTTGGTAGGACAGCGTACAAGTAAACCAACGCACTAATAATGTAACTCAATATTGTTAGGTCAGTTATCATATTAATATTACGGCAATTAATGATACGCAGTATTTGGTACGGGAGAAATTTTTTATTACCGGTAACAAAAAATTATCTGAAATGTGATGGAAATAATTTTTGATTGGATAAGTTGCAAAAAAGTGTTTCGTAGGCATCAATTTTGTCAGAAAAGTTAGGTTCTTTTTAGTAATACTATGTTTTGTTGGTGATAAAATATTGATAGAAATGCGTCATGAAATTATATTTTTACCCATTATGTTAAAATACATGGGCAGAAAACAAAAAAGAGATAAATATACTTTGAACATAGCACTACCACGTCTGGAACAGTGGCCAAAGTGCCACTCTTGCTAAAAAAAATACCAAAATGCTACGTTAACAATAATTTTTGTCAAAATATCACGTGGCATATTTCGCTACATTATGTAGCGAAATATGTGTGCAAATAATTCGCTATAGCGAAATATGCCACGTCAGAACCAAAAATGGCACGTGTCAAACAAGAAGAATTTCGCTACACAGTGTAGCGAAATTCTCCCTGTCTAACACGTGACATTTTTGGTTCTGTGCATTCTGATGCGACATATTTCGTTACACCTTGAAGCAAATTATTTGCACATTTATTTTACTATACAGTGTAGTAAAATATACCACGTGGCATTTTGACAAATTTACTATTAACGTGTTACTTTGACCACTCTTCCACGACGTCTAAATGGAGGAGTCCAATATTTAAGACTATAAGAACAGTAGTACACCACAAGTAATCGTGTCCGACAAACACAAATAACAGAAGTTGTATTAGAAAGTTGCTTTTTCGTCTTAAAATTTGCAAAACGGTATCTCAATGCACGGCTAAAGCACCATTTTAAATTTTTTGAGCAAAAGAATTACTCAGTTAAAGTTGATTGGATAAGTTTTTTCAAAGTAATGTAGTTAAACATGTCACATATGCTGACGGGACTAGTCCCGTCACTGACACTGACGGGACTCGTGCCACGTCAGCGTCATGTAGCAGTCTCATTATCGTAAAACTTCAGAAGGTCATAACTTGTGACTCGGGTATCCAAATCAGATGATTTTTTTTTGATTTCACATAAATTTTCGAGATCTACGCAATGACATCTAATTTGACATATTTTATCTCCCACAAACATAGTTTGAAGATCTTCTGAATTTAAACGCGTGATTGTGGTACAATTGTTACCAATTCAAATTATGTTTGTGAGAGATAAAATATGTTAAATGAGATGTCATTGCGTAGATCTCGAAAAGTTATGTGAAATCAAAAAAAAAATCATCTGATTTGGATACCCGAGTCACAAGTTATGGTCTTCTAAAGTTTTGTGGTAACATAACTGCCTACGTGGCGCTGACGTGGCAGGAGTCCCGTCAGTGTCAGTGACGAGACTAGTCCCGTCAGCATATGTGACATGTTTGACTGCATTACTTTGGAAAAACTTATCCAATCAACTTTAACTGGGTAATTCTTTTGCTCAAAAATTTTAAAATGGTGTTTTTTCCCTCAATGCATGGATAAAATTAATACCACGAATCAGATTGCATTTATTTGTGCCATCCTTTAGTGCAAAAATATTTTGTCGGTCAATTTATTATACCAGTTATTTTGATCTTCACCACTTATCAAACATGTAAAAATTCTTTACTTATATCACTTTTCCATGATTTCCAACGGAAGCTACATAGCAAACAGTAGGAGTGTTCATCAACTGATCAAAACCGATTCAAATCGCAGTGACCGAACCGAAAAATCGATAACCGAACAAACGGAAAATCGAAAAATTGCAAACCGAAAAAAAACCGCAACTTTTAATTGGATTGGATCAGTTTTCGGATTGCTTAATGAAAACCGATTCAATCCAAACCGATCCAATATATTAATTTTCCTCTTCTTACTTTGGTCTTTCTCCAATCACAATTCAAAAATTTATAAACTCGAAACCCATTAACCCATCAACTAAACCTAAGAAAAAATCTAGTCACATCTCATCAACAAAGTTTCATCTGCATAGAGCTTCATATCTCATTGTCCCCCAAAAAAAAGAAACTATATTATGTTTACTAATGCTTTTGTATTTCAAATTTTTTTTTACAAAGCCAATATATATACAAAAGATGTTATCTGCATGAAATAAATTTTAGGATTTTCAAAAAACCGAAAATCGATCCAATCCAAACCGAAAAAAATTGGATTGGATTGGATCGGATCGGATTTGAATAAAATTCCAAACCGAATGGATGATTACATGGTCAAACCGAAAGGATTGGATCTGATGATTTTTGTTTTCAAAACCGATGCAACCCAGACTGCGAACACCTCTACCAAACAGCCTTAGGAAAATATAAATATCATATCACATGACATAATTTTTTATTTTACATATTTAAAAAAATGTGGAATACACTTTAATTTTTTAGATCTCTTTTTTTTTAATGAAATTCATAATATTTATGTGTCTATGACCTAACAGAAGAAATGTTATCAACATTATATTGATAAAACCCTTAATATTAACATTGTGTACATTAAGAATTGTGAACGGACCAATTTTGGTCTCACCTACTAAGAAGATTTATCATTTTCTTAACTTAATTGGTGTTGGATTCAAATTGATTTCTACTCAAGTGTCAATGCTACGTGTTGAGTTCCCTAGTGCGCGGATTGTGGGTGATGTAAAATATACTAGAATACTTAAATCAAAAAGTGTACGAGATAAAAAGAAATATATGAGATACCAGTTGGTTCATTTTCCTTCTGAATTGTGCTAACATAGCAAAATTAATCTCAATATAGTTGAATCAAGCAATAAAAAAGCATTGGTTCGAATTTTATTATTTCTACTTATATGGCATGCTGCCAAAAGTATAATCAGATACCTTTCAACTTGTGGTAATTTTTTTACTTAACTATATTAAAAGGCATAAAAAATTACCAAATTATGTGATTTTTTTTAAAATAAGATAAATTAGCTCCGGTTTTGCATAATATTTGGAAGTACCAAACTAGCAATAGAATTTACTTAACTAGGGTATAACATACGGGATTCACGTTAAAAAA